TGTAACGCCCCCCCCCCCTCCCACTCCCCCTAGCGGTGACTACGATATTAACCTTTTCGTGGCCAGAAGAAATCATCACAAACGTGTTCTGTGCGAGCGAGCGGTCACCAGAAATCGCTGAAGTAGCGAAGCGACCGTTGCCCATAGACATCCGCTTTTACAGATGCGCCGCCTACCTTTGATCGACGGAGGAGGGGGAGCACAGAAAGAGAATATTTTCCCTTCCTCTGCCTCCCCTCGCCTGGAAAATACACCTTCACTTCCCATCCTTTCCTTATAATAGAAAGGGTGGGAAATAATCAAGAATATGTAAAATGGAAAACATTAAATTTAAAATATTATTTTTAAATTTCGTTTTACATATTATATTTTAAATGTTACGAATTGTTTTGTCAAGAAGACAAGGTAGTTTTTAATCATATTTCTATAAAATAGCACGCGTTACATGAGGACCATCTCCTGTGTATGTACTGAATTTTGTTATCGAATAATTTAATATGAAATAATTTTATAATAATGTATACAGAGTTATAGCCAAAGACGATTATAAGTAAAAAAATATAATTATCATCTTCTACTGTAACGTAAATTTTTGTCAAGAATGAGTAAAAAGGAAAAGTAACTTGCTAAAGTATATTGCTGAATTCAGTCGATCCTTATCATTTGATACCCACATTGATGTGCTTTTAAAAAAGTGTCATTTGTAAAGTTTGCCATCTTTCCCATTAATCAAGAGCTATCACTCGATACCCATATTTAGGTGATAAAAAAGTTTCATTCGTCATTTTAGTTAGTCTAGAATAACACATAGGCTACTTATTCCGTTTTTTTTAATTCCGCGCGGACGGAGTCGCGGGCGACAGCTAATAAATAATAAATCATAAAATAAAATTCACACTCCATATATTTGTTAGCAACGACTCGGACACGACACATCAACTTTTCTAAAATAATACAATATAATATCTTACGCTTTAAACATATCAATGATGTACAAAAATAACGCGCCTTTTTTTTATTTTTTTTATAGTGGGTGCGGGAGGGGCGGCGTTTGTGGTGGGTGCGGGAGGTGTGGTGAGTGCGGAGGGTGCGGGAGGTGTGGTGGATGCGGGAGGTGTGGTGGGTGCGGGAGGTGTGGTGGGTGCGGGAGGTGTGGTGGGT